GAGTAATGATCAAACTTACACAAAGTTATGAAAATTGCATGGTCTGTGGCGACTACTGTACGTGAAGAATGTATCGCAAGCGGTCAGCCGCCTGCTCATCCCAACTTGGATTTGCACAAAGGCCAGGAGCAACCATCAGGCACCGGGTCATGAGAACCAAAGACCACCTTCCACAGCAGGAAACGGCTGGTTTCTTTTACCGGATCTGCTACAGTTGTGGACATAGCAACCGGGCTCAGCAACAACCCTAACGACAGCAAGCATAATTGTCACGCAATTATCAAGCCCGCATTAGACATGGACAACGAAGTCACGGCAATGAATGAGTCGAAGAGAAAATGAAAAGCCATCGCTGCACCAATTAAGAGGCCAAGCGGTGGTTACAGCAGCTGATAATTATAGTACGCATGAGGATGACCGCTACGAACTATAAATACCATGCAATCTGTATGTATTACACTGTTTTTGGTTACCTATGATCAAGTATTCTCGGCAGAATCCGAAACGCCAAGAAAATAGAATTCATGTTCCAGTGATCGCTTCTTCTTCTTGAGTTTGAAATGAGTTAGCTGCCGGACGAGCGCCTTTCCGCACCCGCTTGGGATGGTGTGTGAGGTATGAGAGCGTGGAAGCCACCACAGCATCTACATTGCGGTCATGGATGAGTCAGCCTCAGGAGGATGTTTAGCCAGATAGGACTGGGGTAGGTAGACACTAGTGCGTTCGTGCTAATAGTCGTGAGAGTTAAGAATTCGAGTGCCACACTTGGAATTGGGCCACTACAAGTGCTATTTTTTCAGATGGGTGCTTGGGGGAAAATCTCGGAATTGAGGAAGAATAGTTGAATTGAGTGAATGAGATATGTACCAAACTTGGCGTCCTGGACTGCGTGGGCTCCTGGAGAAACCCGGCGTTTGACTTGCACATCGACGGTAAATCAGTATAACATGTCAGTATTAATGGGGTTGAATGAGGAGGGATACCGCTGGCATTATAAGTGACATGGGATATTGGGAAAGCTTTCCAGATGCTGGTACTCATAGAAGGACGGCTCTGTAGATTGGAAGGAGCCATGACCTGGGCTCGATGGCCTGAATGTGGTTGCTGACCTACATAGTGTTTGATAACATGACGTTGGCGACTAAATTCTCCACATCGTGATCACATAAGATCA